GATCGGAAATGTGTTTTACATGTAAGATGGACGTCCTTTTCAAGTTCCTTTTCTTATAGTATATTCAACAAAATAATAATTTGTCATTGTTCGATAGGAGTACAATTACATCGTTGATTGTACTCCTCATAAAATTTTGTTTCACTTAATGTACTATAAACAAAAATCGCACAACCTCTCGTACAATTYGGAATTTGGAATTAATTGTCACGAGTAATGTTTTGAAAGTTCTTCGTAATTGCACGAACCCGATAGGGCGATAGCGCCTCCCCCAAATAAGCGCCTTGTCTCAGACTCGAGAAATTAAATAAGCGCCGGGGCGCTTATTCGAGCAAATACGGTATATATATGTCAGCAACCTCTACAAGATCGGCTTTATGTGAAATATATAGAAAGCTCTAAACAAGAAGTCACGGCGGAAAGAACATAGCATAATATGCTTTAGGTGAATCATTCATTTGCAGTTTGTTCCTAATCCAATGTCGCGTTGGCCATCTAAGAGATATGTTTAAAAACAGTCATCACTAATCGTTTTGGGGATTTCCTGCAAGGCATTTAATCATGCTCTAAGAATCAAACGATTTGTGATGGATTAACCTAGGCCTGTAGGTAAAATTTGTGGTAGATACGACCTTGGAAGGAAAGTTCGCGACTGGCTCTACGTCGATTGTTTTTTCCTTTTCTTCTTTTTCGCCTGTAAATGTGTTCATTCTTTAGAAAAAAAATTCATAGGATCCATTGTCTTCCTAAGAGAGTGTTGTTGTTATTTGTTGTTATTGTTTGTTATGATTGTTGTTGCGTACTTTCTTAACCTGAGCTCGAGTGCGTTTTTTCTTTGATGTAAATTGCGTGTTGTCACCAAGCTGTGCATGGTGATAGTTGAATCGTTTGAGTTATTTTTCGTGTATCCTTTATTTTTACTGACCATTTATTTAAGGAACCTCACAGAAAGGTGGGAGGGTGGGGAGCTTATCTAAAGTAATTCACCGGAGATCTAAGATTCAGTATAAAACACAGGTATATGACACAGGTGCGCAAACACAGAAACATACAAATTAAGCATTTTTACTTAATAAACTTTCTGTGGATGTCTTTCTTGTT